GAAAGGTGGATATAATGAGAGAAGTTTGTCTGGACAAAAATATAAACACGGAAACAGGAGAGTTCTAAGTAAAGATAACAAGGATGGTATTTGAAAACTGTAGAAGTGAATGAAGAGATGTTGTTAGAAGCAAACAAAAGCCATCTTGTGTTGGTAGAGCTGCAAGTACGTAATGGTCAGGGGACTTACGTAAGTAAACTGATCATACTTGTATCTTGTCTAAATATCACCAGGCTGATGAACTGTTGTAACATCTCAGGTTTGATGTCTTCTTTGGTACGAAAGACATAGTAGCTTTTTAGGACATTCTTCCATATTACATATATATTTTGAGCTTATATTGGAATAAATATAAATTGCAACAGCTTGTTAAAAACATATCTAAGGAGAACGTCTTTAATACAGAGCAGTATTGGGCTTCTTCCATGCTCCTATACACTGTTTTTAAAGCATACCAACTATAAGACAGCTGGGTCTTTTCCTGGTGTTGGCCAGAAGAGGCAAGAGTTATACCTTGCACTGTTGGCCTCTTCTGTCTGTCATTAGTAAATTGGTCAGATAACGATGGTTGCCTTTTATAGGACCTTTCTTTAATCTTTGCAAAGACCAATTTGAGGTGTATCGGCTAGAAATTAAGTTGGGTACATACACATAGCAAATGAACATCAAGGTAAAGGAAATGTTTAAGTGATGCAAAAGCTTTTAGGGATAATTTACTAATTATTTAATGTTCCACAGCTAGTTTCCATTTTATTTACTCATGTGGTTTATTAGGTCCTATCTGTAGTTGATGTGTTTCATAAAGATCTGCTGACAAATGCTACTTGTAAATTAAAGCCAAAGGAAAAGATTTTTTTATGAAAATTTTTCTGATTCTCTTAAAAAATTCATTCCATCTGTATCTGTCCAGTGAGACTGAGTGTCATTTCTCTGTCCTGTGATGTAAACTTGTATCAATGTTAGTGTTTTGTCACAAAATAGATGGTAGTTCAAGAATTATGTTTGTGGGGAAGAAAAAACTAGTTAGAAATGGAACAATTTAAACATCTGATAGTTACCATGTTAATGTGACATCTGGTTTTTGATTTTTCTTTTGGATATATTCGTACACAATTTAAAATCGGCTACAGTTGCTACCTTTTTCTGACAGGGGCCTCTAAAATAATAAATTTGTAGAGTTAAAGTATTTAAAAATAATTAACTGAAACTTTAATTGTTAGTACCACTGTAATTCCAGTAATATATTTTAGGGTTTCTTTTTTCTCCTAGAGAGAGTTGGGTAGTCCTCCTTGTCTGTGGGCTAAAATCTTAACTATAAAGATGGGAAAAGGGGCGCCTTTTAAAATTGACTGGGGAAGGGGAAAGAACTTTCTTAGAAAACAATTGGCCGAGCTCAAAGTCTTAGAAATTACTGTGGTGTGTGTTTTGGCTTATCGTCCAGTACTCTTCTTGCCTGAAGAGTTTTCAAACATGAGCCAGAGGAGCTTTTTAAAAGCAGCTGACTACTTCAGTAGTTTGACAGATAAATCCTTAAGAATTGAAATAATATCAAAATCACAAAGTTTGAATCTGCTTCCCAATTAAACAGCTTTTTTTAAATGTTTCTAACTGTACAAATTGAATAGCAGTGATCAAGAAAATTAAAGTTGTCTCAGTAGAATTCTGCTTTAGGGTTTCATTTTGTTTTTAATAAGATTTTTTTAAAGTTCATTCACATTTTACAGTAATTTAACTTGTCCTTTGATCATAGTATAAAGGAAAGTGACAGTATGGCACAAATTTAGCAGTTCATCTTCCAAATGTCTTTGCAGAGGACTTTGGCAAGCAGTAAATAGAGGGGTAATCATGACTAACTGGAAGGATCATGACTAACTGCTTTTATAGTGGTGAAAGTATTTCAGCTGTTGGGAAGATGCTCAGACTAGGGGAGAAAGAAGTGCTAACCTGAGAGTAAAGAAAAGTGGCATAAAATGTATGAGAGGCTTATGTAAAGTGAATGATCGAGCAGTCACTTGGAAAAATTGTTTGTTCTGGTCACTAAAAGTGTTCTTCCACTATGCACATACACACACACCCCGTCCTGGATGACAATAAAATCAGTCAATATCTAAAGAGCAGGTAAGTCTCTTGAAGGGGATGAGAGGAGGGAAGAAGGCAAGGGGGAAGGATAAGTGATCTTGAGCCCTACTGAGTTAAATGGAGTTGGAACAGTGGTATAAACATAAAGGTGTGCTAGTTCAGGCATGCCACAAACGGAAGAGTTAACACAGAGACAGAGCTCTTGGCACATGAGCAGACGGATTTTTAGAGAGAAGACACACCTAGAGTTCCTTTTTTATGAGTAGATGAATGCATCATCATCATCCATCCATATACTTAAGGGAAATAGAATTATACAACATCCTAGAACAATGTACTTTATCACCATTTTTCATAGTTTTTACAGCTACCTTTTAACTTTGTAAATTCACACTTTTTAGTATTTGCAAAAGACTACTGTTTGGCATTGCAAATCCCAGAAAAGTATTGGCATTGTCAAAAACTTGAAATACTGTACACAAAAAAAGGACAATGTAACTTTCTTAGTGTATTTGGACACTTCTTGTCATGAGTTTTCTCAGTTTCAAAGTGTGTAACTATATTGCATGTTCTGGAACTATGAGTTGTTATGCTCTGTGGTGATTGACGTGTAGAAACAGATAATGAGGTCAACAGGGTGAGTTTGAGACGCTGTGCAAATTTTAGTTGTCAGAACTTTAATCACTTAAGTCCCATTAGTTTGTCATTAACACACTTTCAGTTGAGGAGTGTCTCTTAACGTATATCCAGCCATGCAGCAGAGGAGGGATTGGAGCATAGAGCCTCAAGTGGTGTCCTTCAAGGGATGAAAAAGCATCCTGTAGCTCATAGATCTCGCGTGAATGAAAAATTTGAATTCCTGTCATTTGGCCGTGTAATTGGTTTCTGATCATATGAGGAAAAAGCCTGCAAAATTCCTGGGAAAGCAAGGGTCAGAAAAGTGCGATTTGGAACTGCACCCTGATTTTTAAGAAGACGTAGTAGAAGGTGAACCACAAGCTAGATAAGGTCCTCTGGTGGGTCAGTTCAATGGCTTCAGGTTGGACACACTTAAATAAAATGAAAATCATGTTCCAAAAACAATTTGGTGAAAATATTTTTTTTTTTTTTTAGGATTAGGTAAAATTTATAATGTAGTTTGTGTCGTAATGCTGCTTTTTTTACAGTCTGTTAACGTTCAACTCTTACGTGATTTGGACTCCAAGCCCTTATAAAATCACACAAGGAAGGTTAGGGCATTTTGAAACAGATTTTTTAAAATCTAAAACCAAAATCTAAATGCGCTATTCTAGTTCTTTAATGAACTACTTGTCAATTTGGTATACAAAACTACCTATGTTAGAGATGTTAGTTTCTTAAAAGTAAATTTGTCAGTGATTGTGACTGGCAAGTTAACCCATCATTTTCATCAGCAGATAATAGTTTATAGCTTTCATAAATCAGTTCTAAATGAACTGTATGAAACTTTTACTAACAAAAATGTTAGCATTTAGTTAAACTCATTCTTTCTAAAAGCTGTTTGATGTAAATCCAGTTTAAAGAATTAATCTAGAGCATCATTCACATTTCCTAACTGATATGAAAGCTGGCCATTTGAATGGATTGGAGTATTGTAATGGTAAATATGTACCTGTTGGTAAGTGGCAGGAAAATTAATGTTGAAGGCCATATTTAGTTGTGTGTTAGCAACTACTGAGAATTAGTCTTCTTGGAATACAAGAAATAAAAACAGTGAAGAACTTTAGTTGAAACTTTAATTCTAGGTTTCTGTTACTTTGATCTTCCCATGTTGCAAACAAGTTTGAGTCCATTGCTTTAACAGGTTTCTTCTGTTAAATACAAACTAGTTATTGTTACATTAAAAACCGTTCTAAGCGCACCTTATGTCTCTACTTGTTGCTTGCCATTCATTTCCAGGAAGTTCTGAACAAAAAATATTAAGAACTATAAAGGAAAGTCTTGGTCTTCATTCCTGCATTTGCTAATGTGCCTTGGTTTATTATGTTTAATCACCTGGGGGGGGGGGGAGCGGGAAGTTATGAGGAGGTTATTTGTGTACCACAAATTTATTTTTGTAAATCAGAGGCTATTCTTGGTTATTATCTGAAAAACTGATGAAATATTGCTAAGATTATTTTCAATGTCACCTGTAAGAAAAGTTATTTTTAAAAAGTCATCTTTTCCATACAGAACCTTAAAATAAATCCTATCTTGTCTGGTCTTGAATAACAGCTGCTCAGGAAACAGGTTTTTTTCCTGGTTTTGGTGGAGACTTCTATCTTTTGGTTCACGGCTTATGCTAAAATTTCAACCAATCATCTAACCTCAAACAGTGGAGACAAGCCAGAGTGTTTTGCTATGGCAGGAATAGAAGAGTCAAGGTCATCTGCTAGAATATTACTCCCTTTCCTCTCCTCTGAACGCTGCAGAATGGTAACTTTGACCTAAGATGTTATCACAGTAGAAGTCCTTGACACTATTCTCCTCAGGGCAGGGAAGCTAGTTGTGCACTGTCAGTAAATTAAGTTCAGTAATATAGCCATAGAGGGTTATGTATTGATATTTAGAAATACAGCTCTTCCTAGTGAATCAAAAGAGCATGCATTCGTATGTTAAGTAATTCTGCAGCTCAGCTGTTGTTTACAGTTTGGTAGCTATGTATAACTAGTACAGCCAGATCAGTCTTAGGGAGTAATACATATTTAAAACAAATGTATGCCATTAGGTTAAGGTCATAGTCTTTCTTCAATCCTTTAACTAACTTATTGATTTGTAAAAATGCTACATGGTCAACTGTTGCATGTTCACAGTGCAAATCTTTGACCTGTTTTCTAAATGCAAAGAGACTGTTACGTCACGCTTGACTGTCCCCCTCAAGATATGTTTTTATGATCTGTATTTGTGTATTGATTTCTAGGTTTCTTTATTCAGATGAAGTTCAAATTGGTCCAGAAACAGTCATGACTACTTTATACACTGCTAAAAAGTATGCAGTCCCAGCCCTGGAAGCACATTGTGTGGATTTTCTAACAAAGCACCTCCGAGCAGATAATGCCTTTATGCTGCTTACTCAAGTAGGTAATTTTAAGCTTAGTTTTGATTTACTAGGAAAATCAGTATTTGGAGAGAAGTGACTAAATATTACTTCACAGTGGGTTTGCTATCACGTAATCTTAATTTATGTATGAAAATGTCTCGTTGCTCTGTTAGCATTTTTACAGACTCAACTTCTTATTAATGTGGAGGAAAGGCTCTTTTTTGGTCCCCTTTTTGGTCCCCTTTTTGGTCCCCTTTTTGGTCCCCTTTTTGGTCCCTTTTTTGGTCCCTTTTTTGGTCCCTTTTTTGGTCCCTTTTTTGGTCCCTTTTTTTTTCTTTTTTGATATGCAATGGACTGGGACATTTCAAATGGAGCCAGTTTATTCTATAGTGTATTTGCATGAATCTTTTAATTGTTTTTTGTTAAGACTGTGCTTCCGTTCGCTATAGTGGATTTGATGTGTACTTTTTTTTTTAGTTATATTGCCAAAACTACAAACATAAGCACAAAGGAAAATTTGCATGTAGTGAATTCTGCTTAATTATGTACTCCTTTGAGAATTTAAGTGCTCTTTAAGGTATAAACACAAAGAGTACTTAGACAAATCAACGTATTTTAATTTAGATCTATACTAGAGTAAAAATACTTGCTTTTTAAGATTAGTGGTTTGTCAACTTTATGCTTAAGATGTATCTCTTTACCTTTTTAGGCTCGTTTGTTTGATGAACCTCAGCTTGCTAGTCTTTGTCTTGACACAATAGACAAAAGTACTATGGATGCAATAAGTGCAGAAGGCTTTACTGATATTGATATAGGTAAGTTATTTCGCATGTCCAAAGCATTAAACTTCTGAAGGGAATTGTAGGGCGCAAGAAGGCTTTGTTACGATAACTCAGGATAGTTTGCCTCCCCCATCTGAGTATGTAGAGTCCCAAGCACATTTTATCTCCTTGTCATGGTAACCTCGGGTAGTTCCCTTCCCTCCTCATCTGCACCCACCTCTGCATGGGCGCCAACGTGACGGCCAGCTGCAGATCTCAGAATTCAGACAATAGCACCTGCATTATGTCAGTGAGTTTGCTAATGAGCAAAACAGGCCATTGCATATGTATGATATGTTAATCAGCAAAGTTTTATTATCCACCCCTTCAGTGCTGTCCTTTGAGCTTCACTCCCGAGCAGGGTTCCACTGCGTTGGGTCATCATTTGATTAGTGTAGGTGTCCCAGGGCTCCCACCGAGGTAATGCTACACTTTCATTAAAGCCAAAGCTTTCACTTGCTGAGTGTTGTGCCTTGTCCCTGAGGGATCCACACCTGCTTTTCGCGCCTAACAGGAATCATACTGTTTTGTTGCCGCATGGTACTTCTCTATTCAGAGTTGCACAGATCAGGTACAATTTATGAAATCTGTTTAAAAATACATATATCTATCTATCTATCTCTAAACTGCTGGTTTCTATGTCTCATCTTTTATGAAAAGCTAGCAGTTGTGTATTTGGTTAGTTAATTTCATTGTTACTATATGTGTCTAAGATTTTACTTCAATTCAGCTAGACTGTGTGAAAAACTCAGACTAAAGGAAGGTATTCCAGGCGCTTAAAGAAATTCTAAAGTCATTGTTAACTCGTGTTTAGGATTTGTACCCAGGCTGTGACTGTTCATCTCTACTCTTGATAAGTCCCAATCTGTTTTAACTTTCCAATCTGATATTTTCTATGACCCGCAAACATGCCTTGCTTAAATTCAGGGCATATAAAAGTTCCCAAAGAAGTCAGAAGATTCAGAATATAAAAACACATTTTTTTCAGGCTTGTGTTCTATGATAAACTGAGAATTTTTGCATACCTGTTATTCATAAAATGCCAGAAAGAGTAAGAAATATAGGAAAGCTTGCTTTTGTAAAACACGTGAGAGTACCTTGCCTCACATCCTGTGTTCCACCTTCAAGCTTTGTGGGTGGCAAATATGTCAATGTTTAAGATCACTTTCATGTATCTTTAAACTGGTTTTGTGTGTACCACTACTGCTGGTGTCTATAGTTGATCCAGAATGGCAGGTGGCTACTCAGATGAGAGTATGACAATGTCATCATGAATAACTTGGTTTTTTAGTAGTGTGCATTTACTGCTTGGTCGCTTCCAGTTTTGATCTTGCCCTAGCCATGGAAATTCTTTAGGATATTCATTGTTACTACATAGATTATATATAGTCACACTCTTGGGAATCAAGAAGAAAGTTCATATGCTGTCTTCATAGCAGAAAAATGATTTTTTAGTTTGGAGTATATACACCATTGGGAGATTTCTTTATACGTAAGGTAAGTTGTCTTGTCTTTGATGTCTTATTATGAATGTTCTTAGTGTTTACTTGCTTAACATTTTAAGCTTACTTAATGTGTAACATTGTTACTGGTTTGGATGAAAACTGACCTAAATCTGTTAACTTTTTTTTCTTTAGACACATTATGTGCAGTTCTAGAAAGAGATACCCTTAGTATTCGAGAAAGTAGACTCTTTGGAGCTGTTGTTCGCTGGGCAGAAGCAGAATGTCAAAGACAACAACTGCCTGTGACATTTGGAAATAAACAAAAAGTCCTTGGAAGAGCTCTTTCCTTAATCCGTTTTCCATTAATGACTATTGAAGAGTTTGCAGCGGGTGAGTTGTGGGGTTCTTTGTCTTACTGTTAGACCATATCTCTGCTTTGTTCACCTGTGAGTGTTCAGATGCTTAACAGTCTATTCTGTTATTAATATCATACTAATAAAAGTTGTGATGCACAAATGAAAGCAAAACATTCTGCAGAATATGATCTGGCCATTGGAAAATATTTTTGTCATCTTCAGTTTGCGAATATGTGTGGTTTAAATACAACAGTTGGAGTAATTCTTCGAATCGTCTTAGAAGTTGCTTCTTTTCACAGGCCCTGCTCAGTCTGGAATCTTGTCAGATCGGGAAGTAGTAAATCTCTTTTTGCATTTTACTGTCAATCCTAAACCTAAAGTAGATTATATTGACCGACCAAGATGTTGCCTTAGAGGAAAAGAATGCAGCATTAACAGGTTCCAGCAAGTGGAGAGTCGCTGGGGCTACAGTGGAACAAGTGATCGGATTAGGTATGGCTTTTGAAACTATTTGGAGGAGGGACAGAGAAGTGTGGGAAGAAAGGGAACATATTACTCAACTTTGACTTTTTGGCATAAGATACAGTAACAAACATGCTGGTTCTGTTTGGGCACGTTTGATCTTTTCCTTTTTTTTAAAATAACAGACTGTTGTGCACATAAAGTAGCAAAGAACAATGCTCAGGAGGACTGAGTGCATTCTAGAGTTATTGGTTGTTAGCTGCATTTAAAATACCATTCTTGATCTGTTTTTATTTTGGAGATACTAAAAAGAATCAGGTTATTTTTTGTTTAGAGATACTGAATATCTTGGGGGATTAGCAAAGCTTTAACCTATAAAACTGATACCTTACAAAGCATTTTCCTTACTATGAAAACTAAATAGAAAGTGTTACTGGAAAAAATATTCATGTAATGTCATTTTCAGTTTACTTCCCTACTCTTCAGTGCAAGTCTTTTTCCTTCTTGTCTGGGAATAAGGTAACACATCGATCACAGTTGTTTAAATTCCTTTCTTGGCTTGTGTCTTACGAGGTTCACAGTTAATAGAAGAATTTCCATAGTGGGATTTGGATTATATGGATCTATTCATGGACCCACAGACTATCAAGTTAATATACAGGTATGGTACATTCTGTTTAAATAGGCTTATGCAGAAACTGTACTTCTACTACCCCAGTGGCCATAAGTGCATGGATAGGGAAAAGTAAGAACAATATGAAACTCTTCTCCCTTTCTGCTGTATTCTCCTGTCCTTCAATCATTTTCCGTATAGGTGTTCCCTGAGGCCAGTTTGGTTTCTCTATTTAGTAGCTCCTGGTGAATCTTTCTTCAGGATACTTGTCTGGTCTAACCTTGAATTCCTGTAAGCTTTCTGCAGAGGAATTTCATAGCTTTGTGATCTGTTCAGTTGTGCACAAAATCTGTCATTTAATAAAGTTTCTAGTAATTCAGAAAGAGATCTCGGGTTTGTCATCAACAGCTCTCTGAAATCAGTGACACAAGATGTAGTGACTGCTAAAAAAGCCCACTGTGTCATGAGGAAGATACTGAAAACAAGATAAAAGGTGACATTGTGTTGCTGTATGAAAGCCAGGTATGCCCACATCTTGAGTATTGTGTGTAGTTCCCAATCTCACACAGTAGGATTAGAAGGTAGAGAAAAGGGTAATTAAAATGATTAAGGGGATAGAGCTATTGCTTTATGAAGGGAGACCAAAATGGGACTCTTCAGTTTGTAGGGGAGAAGGCTATGGGGAGGTGTGAGCAATGCTTCTAAAATCATGAGGACAATGGATAAGGTAAATGCAGAACTGTTCGTTATTCACCAAACCCCAGAATATTAGAACTAGGAGACGCTTCCTGATACTAGCAGGTCAAAACAGATGAGAGTATTTTTTCAATGCAGAGGATACTAAACATACTGCCACAAGAAGCAGATACCGTGTTTTGAATTTGGTGGTATTTGAACATTGTCATTCATCAATAGCAGATCCATTAGAAGATTCCAGAGGGAACAGAAGGGCGATGTGCACTGTAGTACCCCTAGTAGAACCGTTGTGGATACTGGGGGAACAGATAGCAGAGCCCAGACTTGTGTGCTAACCCTCAGCAACATCTTCTCTTGCCACTGTCCAAGCATATTGGACAATTTGTCTGACCCGATTGGGTACTTATTACGTTCTTAGCTCACCAGGTACGCGTATTGGGGTTTAGAGGCTTGTCCTTGCCCAGAGCTTTTTGGAAAGATTGACATCTTATTTGGTACTGATTCAGTCTTAGGCAGAAGGTTGTATGTTGCTGTTACCATAACAATTTCTTCAAAGTTACTTCAATTTTAGGTTTGCTGAAAACATTATCCCAGCACGGGAATCTCCCCAGTTTCTTCTGCTGGTAAATGACTTATTTGTATTGCTGTTCTCCAGAGTCCTATGTGAAGACCTTATCCTGCTGCTACTCGTTTTATATCTTCATGCTGTTTAGCCCACCAGAGAGTCTAAAGGGCTTTTTGCTACTGCTGTGTTGAAAGAATGATTTAACATTGGTTTTGATGCTTTCAGATAGCTGTTCCTAAACCTTCTTTTGGCCTGCTTAATTGTATTTTTTACATTTTAATCTGTCAGTTTAAACCTTTCTATTTTAATCTGGATACAACTTCATATTTCTGTAGGATGCCCTTTTTTGTTTGTTTATTTCCAGTAATAGGCTTTTGCTGATCAACCATGCCAACCTTTTCCCCCTTTTCTCAAGCCTTTCCAAATAGATGATATGTACCAATACTATACTTGGGCGTGTGATGTCTTTCAGTAGTCTGCATGCTTCTTATAAGGATTGGATTTTCTTAATTGTTCGTTTTAGCTTCTTTTGAACAAGCTTCCTCATTTTTCTCTTCTTGAAATTTAGCACAGCTGTGGTGGATTTGCTTTTGTTGTTCACGTGGGAGCATTGACTCTAGGTATATTATGGACACTGTTACATAGTGTTTCCATTATGAAATTTTGAATCTGATCCTGCTCATCACTCAGTACCAAATCAAGGGTTGCGTTTCTTCCTACTGAGCAATTGGTTAGCAAGCTCATGAAATGGTCAGTGATAGCATCTAAAAATGTCACCCCTGCTTCGTGTCCTGATATGACACTTGCCTAGTCTGAGCTGGTAAATGAAGACACCACTAAAATTGTATTTCCTGCTCTTGTAGCCTGTTTGATCTCTCTTAGCATGTTGTGGTTGGGATTGTCTTCTAGTAATATTGATCCAGCACTATATTTTTTCCTTTTTAAGTATGGAAATTCAGTCCATTTGAATTCTATTTCTTACTGAGGTTAGTTTTGATTTGATTCTAAGCTTTTTTACAAGGTATTAGCACTCTGTGACTGGCATAGTTTTACTCTGTGCTGTGTATTTCGTAACCTCGTACTATCACACCACATTGATTTATTAGGTGTGTGGGAAATTTTGTGAAAGAAAGAATCTGTGACTTTTTAGGGACAGAAATTCCATTGTCCCTATCTTATTTTGTAGACTTCTAGCATGTGCTGGAACTGCTGTTTTGGTTCATTTCTGGGCATCGTATTTAAATGACAGTTTATTTGTCTTCTGTTTCCTATTTGATGATTACTATTCTCTAACCATCCTGTACTTAAGGATAGGAATTTTGTGTCTGTCTCTTAAGAAAAAAATGTTGTGTCTTTCCTCTTATGATGTTCCAAAGAGAATGTATCTGGAATGAGATTTTGAAGGAATTTGTTGGCTTTTCCACATTCCTCAGTTTAAAAGCTCACTTGCAAATTCCTCGATTTGAAGTGCCATCAGTTTGGTTTTCTCAAACTATACATCTATGTAAATGAGTAGCATAGTGCACTAGACTGGATCTTTAGAACAAAAGAGTTGGTGGTGAGGACCTAGCAGCCGTACTATACATATTTGGGGATTTTTACTTTGCATTAACTCTTGTTTGGTCCTCTTGCCTAAATTCCTGTTGGCAGATGAGAGCATTTGGTGTGCTCCCTCAGCATGTTTGCTGGATTTATTTCATCTGAAAAGAATTTAGTTCTTGCAAGGCAAACCAAAGCATATTAAATGGGAATGATCAAGAGATTCACTTGAAAAACATGCCCCTGATCCAAACTGAAAGGCTAATGTACCTTTATGGGTCAGCTGAAGGCCATCCATCTTACACAGGTTCTCTTTATTCTGGAATTATCCCCAATTCCTGATGAATCTGAAACTTTCTTGTCACTATCTTTTCAGACAGGTATTTAAGTCCTGTGTCTCTACTTTTCTTCTTGGACCTGCATCAGTACTAGCAGAGCTTCAGAGAGTTAAACATTTAATACTTGTCTTAAAATAGTGATGATGTATATTGCAAATACATCTTTTATGTAAAAGGGGCTTAGGACTTCAGCATTATAATTGTTAATATTTCTATTGATTGTGGCTGGGAAAAAAAATTAGAGCACATTTTGCCTAGAATAGGGCTTCATCTTATTTGTGCAATATTAAAAATTATATGGCAATTTAATAATAAAATATTAAAATTGATAGGATTCTTGTTAGTGCAGTAATCATGAGAGGTGTTCATGTTACTCTAAAGCTCTGATACCCAACTTTGGCAAGAGGTGTTCAGCAGCATGGATCAGGATTACTATCCAAAATGAGAAGTGGGGTATTTGCTGTTACTACATCTTAGCCAGTGATTCCTATTCGCCACTAAAATTGAAGGAGAAAGAAATAATATGTAGTCTGAGTGTAATTTTTATACTGAATCTAGAATAGAAATAAATTGTATAAAACATAGCAGTGCAAGTTCCTGTTTTCTTTTAAGAATGTATCATCGACTACTTACATTATCTGTAAAAACTTGTTTTCTAAATTAGCCACAGCCAGCAAATGTGCTTCCCGCATGTGGGCTGTGTAGGTGTACGAAGATCAGCAAGTCTAAGTACAGGATTATATGTAGTATATGAAAGTCAGAAGCTGGAAGTCTCAGAGCTGTTCTTCATCTCCCAAGCAAAGACTATAACCTGGTTGGAGCAGTGTTGAATCTAGCCACAGATTGGACAGCCTGTGTAAAACTCGCAAGCCATCCTCCGGTACACTGCTGGATCAACCCTAATGGTATCAGGAAGTTACACCTGTTTTACAGTTCTGAGATTGCTCTATTCTTGCAATTAAACTGGGTGGAGTAGGCAAGTGTTTGCTTCTAATCTTTTAATATGCATACAATAAGCATTTTTCTCAAGCTTGTAAACCTAAAAATACTTTATTCATGTTTTTGTACAGATAATTGATTATGAGAAGAACCAAACGCTAGGACAAAACGATACTGGATTTAGTTGTGATGGAACAGCCAGTACATTCAGAGTTATGTTCAAAGAACCTATAGAGATTTTGCCAACAGTTTGCTACACAGCTTGTGCAACATTGAAAGTAAGAACGCGTAACAGTACAGAAGAAAATGTTATTTTGATGCAAGAGTTATTCTTCTATCTGTCTTGTGATGGGAAAGTGTCTTCTAGATCTTGAATTTATGTTAAGTTTAGTGCTAAAGAAGGCCATAGTTAAACTCCACGGTAACTTTTTAAGACTGCTCCCTCTCTTCTGTGCCACAGCACAGAATTCATAACTTCATGCCTTTCCATTTTCTGGCTCGATGTAAGAGTTAGAAATGAGTCCTAATGGAAGTCACTGGTTCTGTGTGGGCAAAAGCAGTATCTAGAATATTTAATCTGACAGCTCTCTATCAAAATTTTAGTTTGATTTCTTTTATCAAGGATATTCTAACCACTAGCTAGAGTCAAGAAAACAGAAAGTTTTCTTTTATCACTTTTTATATACTAATGCTGAAACATAGGAAAGAATTATTTGTTCTAGGAAAGTCTCCCCTTAATGTTATGGACAAATTTATTTATTCAATGTTTTCTCAAAAATCTTTTAATATTCTTTTAAATATAATTCCCTACA